AGGGCCTCATGCAGTGCCTGGCACGGTTCCACTCCATGAATGTCAGCCTGGATTGTGATTATTCTCCCCTGGGAGGCTTACAACAGGTATTATGCTCCCCACTTGGAGGATTTATTGGTCCATGGGTAGGTCAGTGCCCCCAAACTTGGGCTGGGGCCTGTGGCTGGCGCTGTGTGCCTTGGGAAAGCCCCTCACCCTCTCTGGGCTACTTATTCCAGGGATGAGCACACTCTGTACTCCGGAGCTCTGCTCCGTGACAGGTCTGGCCCTGCCTGGTCCTGATGCCTGCTCCAGCTGGGCCTGCCCCGCCCTCTACCCCAGAGATTCGGAACTTGGAACTCTGGCCCTTGGGCAGGTGGCAGGGGGAAGGGTCTTGACTGTCCTTTGTCTTTGCCTGCCACACCCAGGCCGGAGGTTTTCGCATGTGGTGTCTCCCAGGAGTCCTGGGCCTCCGTGGAAGTGTGGGTGGTGCCCCCTCACTTCCGAGAGGGGGCTGCTGAGGCAGGAGGGGAAGGCGATGGGTCAGGCTCATTCAGGGCGGCCACGGCAGAGCTGGGCTGGGATCCCGGGTCCCCTGACCCGTCACAGTTGGGTGCTAGCTTGGAGTGGGGCGGGAGGAAGCCTCTCCTCCTTGCGTGCTGAGGGTCCTGACCCACCAGTGATGGCTGTGCTGGGTGACTGCCGTCCAGCCCCTTGACCTCTCTGGGCCTCAGAGCCCTCACTCAGATGATCTAGGTTGTGTGACATAAGCAGTGAGACCCCCCAACGCCTGGAGTGGGAGGGAGGGAAGTTGGGTCCTGAGCCCCCACTGGCCTGGACTATGCACAGGGGGCTTCAGGGCTTCCTGGCCTCCCCCTGACTCCAGGCTGCATCAGTGCGAAAGTTTTCCCACCATCTGACCTAGATCCCTCCAGCCCCGCAATGCACAACCGCAGCCTCTGTCTCTCTGAAGGGTTTGGGACCCTCCCTCACTCCCCTCTTCATCATCTCAGTCCCCTGTGCTATCTTTTTCCCCCATGGTTCTCCCTCCTGGGGTCTGTGGCCTTGGCGGGGGATGGGGGGCAGTCCCCATCCCCTGCTTTGCTAACTTGGAGGGGGCTGCCTTTGGTGGTGGAGTTTGGGGTCTGTGACACTGAGTTTGCTCAGCTGGACTGGCTCCACCTAGAGCTGATGGGGAGGTGTGTTGGCCTGGGCCTGCCATTGGGTCAGTGAGCATTGGTAGCCACAAATGTAGAAGTCTGTGAGGTGTGCTGAGATGTGAACATGCCTCAGGGCCTTTGCAGTGCCTCCCCACTGCCTGGAATGCGCTTCCCAGATGTCCATGTGGCTCACCTCCTTCGTATCTTTGCTCAGTAAAGCCCTCCCTGCTATCCTGTTTAGAATTGCAACTCTTCCCCACCCTCCTAGCACCCCAGCCCCTCTCCCTGCTTTATTGTCTCCGTAGCATTTGTCACCTTCTGAAATGCTGTGGATTTTGCCCACCTGGCTTGTCATCGGACTCTGCTTCCAGAGTGTCAGCTCCATGTAGGTAGTAGGTTTTGTCTGTTTACTGCTTTATCTCCAGAGCCTAGAATTGTGCCTGATACACAGTAGATGCTCAGTAAATCATTGTGTGAATGAATGAATGGGCACACTTGGAGCATGCCGGTATGTGCACATGTGTGTGTCAGTGTGCGGGGGGTGTGCCTCTCTATATTTGTATGTTCGGATGTACACGATCATGTGCGTGCCAGTGGATACATGCCTGGGAGTGTGCCCTTGTGTGTGCACATGCCTGTTGGGCATGCTGGTGTGTGAACACAGGTGGGCATGGGTAACCCTGATAGAGACCTGCTCCCACCCCAAGCTGCAGGGTCTCTACTCTGCCTCTGTGGGGAGGGGCCTTCCCCAGCTTGCCTGGCCTAGTCCCTGTGGGAGAGGGCTGGGGGCCCCCAGAGCAAAGTGGAGATCCCTAGGGACCAATGTGGGTTCCCTAAGAAGAGGCCACAACTGCTGGGCCAGGTCTGTTGGACCTGGCTCCGGAGCATCTTCGGGCTGTGAGTTCAGCCTTGTGTGGACCTGAGGACAGGGTGGCAGCTGTGTGGGGACTAGGGGAGGACATAGCTATAGCTCAGGGGTGGCTAAAGATTTCAGGTCCCCTGGAGGATCTGGGTCTCTGCAGGCAGGAGGCAGGGCTCTACCGCATTTTTGGCAAGAAGTTGAGAGGGAACAAAGACAACTGTGGATCAGATTTAAGGACCTGATGGCAATGACTCCAGAGCTACATCCTTGTCACTCAGCCCCAAGGTGATTGGGGATTTGATGCAGAGATGCAAAGCGTAGCTTGCAGAATCGAGCATTTGGCCTGAAGGCATTTTGAGTGAGACGGCTCTGGTCACAATTTGAAGCCTGAAGTAGTTGTCATATTAATCAATTAATAAAGATAGAAAGTCCAAACCAAGGGAGGTGAGAGCCCTCTGTGCCCTGTCCCAGTGTGAACTAGTTTGGTGCATGTTGATCAGCTCAGTCAATGTGGGGAAATGAGCCACAGCACTGGGGGCCCTCTGTGACTGGGGTGATCGAGGAGGGACTGCCAGGGTAGGCAGGCAGTCACAGAAGGCTTACCCGCTGGAGAGGGGATGGCTAGAGCCAAGTCCTGGAGGCTGGACTGTGCCATGCGTGTGCCAGAATAACAGCATGGCACAGGCTGTGCTCGGGCAGGAGAGGAGATGGGAGCCCAAGAGAGATGGAAACAGAGCAATGTGAGGAATGGCCTTCTAGGAGTGAGGAGCTTTCCCACCATCTCACTGATGACTCACGACCACCCCGTGATGCAGGGATCTCCTTCACTTGAGAGGGAAGGGAACTGAGGCACAGGGAGGTCAGGTCACTTGCCGAGGGTCGCGCAGCAATGAAGGGGGACCCGCATTAGCAACCAGGCCTCTTTGACCCCAGGGGTCCCTTAGGGCATTATGGGGATGCCAAGGTGGGCAGTCCCCTGATCACTGCTACCCTGGCCCAGCCATTGCCTGGAGGCAGGATGCCCCTCAGATTCAGATGCCTAGAGTGGACACTCAACAGCAGGGGGTTAGACCTGTGTCCTGTTAGCCCCAGGTTCAGATCAGCTAGGCCTGGCCGGCATCCTTAGGCCATGGCCTGCCCTGCCCACAGCCACGTGGCCGACGGGATTTCCGCCATGTTTGGGGCATGAATTGACAAGTGCCTCATTGACGGTTGAGGGGGAGGGTGTGGGCAGGGCACAAGCCTGCCACTGTGCCGGGTCCCCACCCTCCCCCGTTCCCCGGGACAATGGCCGAGACTCAGCCAGTGGCCACAGCTGGTGGGGGGGGGGCATGAGCATGCGGGGGCAGGAAGGGAAGGGTCCAGGGTGGAGGACCACCTGGGCCCCCATCCGCCCTCATCCCGCACCTGGCTTGTGTCGCCTCGGTTCCTCTTCTACCTAGCTGGGTGGCCTTAAAGGGAGGAGGAGACAGGAGGGGAGGGGCTTCCTTCCCACAGCCCCGATCCCGCCTGCCTGGGAAGGAGCAGTGTCTGGCTCCTGTTAAAAGCAGGTAATAAAGGGCCTAATTAATGAGGAGCAGCTGGGGTACATAGCTCAGCAGGGCAGGGGCGGTGCCTGGAGGGGCCCTGTCTAGCCCTGAACCCTGACCACAGCATGGCCGGGCGGAGGTGCCCAGACTCGGGCAGGCCTGGTCCCAGTGCCCGCTTGCCACTTTGCTCATTCATCCCATGAACATTCATCGTGTGCCTGCGGTGTGCTTAGATGCTTACACGGCTGAGAGACAAAACGGGGCAGGACTCACGGCCCAGCTGCCACACCTCTAAGCTATGGGAAAGGCGTTTATCCTTTCTGAGCGGCAGCTTCCTCATCTGTGAAAGAGGGAACAAGAAAACCACCTACCCCGTAGGCTTGTTATGGGAATTAAATACGAGCCATATAAAGTGTGTGGCATGGCTGGGCAGAGTGACCGCTCGGTGAGTGTGTGCTACGGGCAGTGGGTGGGCAGAGGACTGATTCTTCCCCCGAGGTGTGTGCTGGGCAGGAGAGCAAAAAGCCTGATGAGAAAGTAGAAGGGAGGCCGCTCAGGAGAATGGGGGAGTCAGACATGGTCTCTCGGAGGAACTTACATTTAAGCCAAAACCTATAGAGTCACGAGGAATGGGAACAGCATGAGGGAACAGCATGTGTAAAGGCCCTGATGTGCAAGGGGGTGTTTGTCTCAGGATGGAATGAGGCGGGGGCTGGACTGTGGAGAGTTGCAGGGAGGGGCACTGGGGCAGGAGCGGCCACGGGGGCGGGCAGGGGGTCGACCGTGCCAGGACTTGGACGGACGAGGGTTCTGGTTATTCCGAGCAATGGGAAGTTGAAGGGTCTGGGGAGAGGGAGGGCGGGGATGCTGGTTTGTGACCTGGTGGTGCCACCTTCAGGCTGTGGGACCTTGGGCAGCCTCCCCAGCTCCCAGGGAGGTCTTGAGGATCAGCATGAGACTCTCAGCTTCCTTCCTGACTGTACCTGCCACTCAGCGGTGTTCCAGGATGTTCCAGGGTTCTTTGGGGAGCAGTGGGGGAGGGGGCCATGCCTTTCTCCTGGGTTCCTGGAGGCTCTGCCCCAGCCTCAGGAGTCAAGGAGCCACTCCACCCTGTCCTGCTGGAACGTTGGGTTAGAGATCTCCAGTGTGGTTCATGGGATAGGCGGGGGGCATCTCCTGGGTGGCTGGACCCTTTGGGACAGGCGGCGAGGACTCCCAGAGAAAGAGGAGGTGTGGGGTCAGTGGTCCTCAGGAGGCCCACCAACCCCCCAAACCTCATACTTCTCTCCCACCCATTGGCCCACCCCCACCCTGCCCCAGCGGCTCCCCCCTCCCTCCTCCATCCTCCCGTCCGCCCGGCCCCTGGCACCGAGGGTCTCTCCTCCCCCCAACCACATCTGGTTCTCGTTAGGGTCTCCCAAGATGCCTCTGTCGGAGGCACCCCCCACCCCGGGGGAGGGGGGCAGGAGGATTAGGGGTGATTAGGAGTTGCTCCTGGCCGGGGGAGGGGGAGGAGGGGGCCTGGCCTGTTATAAATAGCAGCACCAGGACTCTGTCACCCCATCATTCACTGTGGATTCCAAGTTCAGTCTCAAAACCCCGCGGCTTCAGCAGCCAAGGTGGGAGTGACGCTCCAGTACCCCCTCCTGTGCCTGGTCCTCCCTCAGGACCACCCGCTCCCCGTCATCCAGTGGGGCAGCCCAGCATGGCTGGGAAGCCTCAGCGACCACCAACTACACTTTCCCTCTTGGAGTCAGGCCCCTGCACTTGAGTTTGGCTTCTCCTTGCTGGGTTGCCTTGGGCAAGAGGCTTGACTTCTCTGAACAAAGGGGATGATGCTAATAACAAACACCAAGTCTGCAGGGGCGATTGGGAGGAGAACCCGTAAAGCACTTAGGATGGTGCTGGGGCCTGGCAGGCACTCAGTCAGTGTGAGCCGCTGTCATTGTCACCGTGATAGGTTGGGAGAATTATGTCACAGTGCACAGGAAGAGCCTGCAGGATGCCTTACATATAATAAACTCCTGTGGTTATTAACGTACTTGGCTCTGAAAGTGTCTGGCACACAGCAGGCGCTCAGTAAATGGGACCTTTGGTTAACAGGGAAGGACGGGGTGGGGGTCCTAGAACCTCGGCATGCAGCCTGGTCATTCCCAGCTTGAGAAGCTCCCCTTGCCCTGGGCGGCCATTGGCGGTGCTTGGTGGGTGTCCCTTGTTCCTGGCTGGGTGAGTCCAGTGTGGGGGCCAGCAGGAGGGCCTGTCCCAGGCAGCGCGTGACTCCTAGGAGGGCTTAGCCACTCATTAATCACCTAAGCGGGGCTCAGCATTCTTGAAATCCGGCCAGGGCCAGGGAGGGGCCTGGGCTGGGGGTTCCTGGGGACCCCAGGGCTCTGGGGAGTGGGGACAGCCACTGTTTGCTGAGCACCCACTGTGTTCTGGGCACTTTATATACCTTAACTTGTTTCATCCTCAGAAGAACGCTGTAAAGTGTTAGCTGTTCATGTCCCCATTTTACTGAGGCGACTGAGGCTCAGAGAGGGTATGTGACCTGCCCAAGGTCACACAGCAGGGAGTAGGTGAGCTAGGATTTATTACTGGACCTGAGCTCTGTTCCCAGGGTTCACCAGGGGAGGGGGCATGAGGCGCAGACCCCAGACTCAAGGCCTAGGGACCTGTGGGAGGGGTGCCTCCTGCCTCAGTGGGGCCGGCCAGCCCAGGTCAGCAGTGTGGGTGGGGCCGTCCTCCATTATCGGAGTTGACGCATCTCCCACGTCAGCCCCCTTATCACCCAGCACTCCAGCTCCCCCTGCAAGGTGACCCCGGGAGGGGAAAGGCCAGCGCCTCCCCCTCTCCTTCGCTGCTGATGCCCGAGAGCACTGGGCTGCCTTTTCTGTGAATCCCTCCCGTTGGTGGGGCTGGGGCTAGCGGGGAGGGCCCAGGAGAGGTCAGGCAGAGGAGCAGCCCTCAGGCCGCCATCGTTCCCCGCCGAACCTCTCTGGGGCTGTTTCCTCCTCTGGGCTCAGCCCTCAATGTGGGGGTGATGGGCACACGCAGTGAGGGTGGGCTGGGCACTCCTGACTCCGACCCCTGCTCCCTCGCCACCTGCAGCTGGGGCCCGGGGTTCAGGAGTCTCCCCCAGCCCCATGGGCCCCCCAGGATGTGTGGTCCAGCCCCACCAGGCCTCCTGGTCCCGGCTGCCCGCAGCTGGGCCATCTGGAACCGCCTCCCGGAGGACAGGGCAGGACAGAGTCAGTGAGTCTGGGTCTGAGTCAGTGAGGGGGCTGGTATCCGCTGTGGTATCCCGGCTAAATAAAGCGCCTCGTTTGCTCCTCACAGCACCCCACAAGACGGGGACACGGTTACCCCATTTTATAGAAAAGACGAAGGGACTTGCTCATGTCACGAAGCTGGAAAGGAGAATGGAGGGGCAGGAAGCAGCCGGTCTGTCCAGCCCTGCACCCTGGGCCCCGCCCCTCCTTGCAGAGTCCAGCTGGCCTTGTGGACTGAGGGCAGCACCATCAATGCCTCCCGGAGGGCTGGCAGGTGGGGGTGATGAGGGACTCCCCCTCCACGTGGATGCACAGATGGGGAGGGCCCAGCCTGCGGAGAGTCGGCGGGCTGGGCCGATCTCTCACGTCCACCCCTCCCCCACAGGCCACGACATCAACGGCGCCCTGGAGCCCTCCAACATAGACACCAGCATCCTGGAGGAGTACATCAGCAAGGAAGACGCCTCTGACCTGTGAGTGGCCCCCGCGGCACCCCAGCCCCTTTGGCCTCCACCTGGGAGGGGTGACGTGGCCCCGCCTCTGAGAGCTGCTCCTTTCCCAACCACTGAGCCCACTGCAGCGTCCAAGCCGCCCTGCAGGTGGGAGCCCCCCGGGAGGGGCGGGGGTGCCGGGCTGGCGCTGAGCTTCCACCCTTCTCCGCAGCTGCTTCCCTGACATCTCTGCTCCAGCCAGTGCGGCCTCCTATCCCCACGGGCAGCCAGCGATCCCCGGCTCCAGCGGGGCCCACCACCTGAGCCCCCCCGGGGGCGGACCCTCCCCGGGTCGCCATGGCCCCCTCCCACCCCCGAACTACAGCGCCCCGCTCAACTGCAACAACAACAACGGCATGGGTGCTGCTCCCAAGCCCTTCCTGGGGGGCTCTGGGCCCCCCATCAAGGCAGAGCCCAAGGCTCCCTATGCCCCCGGGTGAGTGAGGGCAGTGGGGGTGGGGTAAGATGCAGAGACCCAGGCCCAGGCGGCCTGTGGGACCAGTGACTGGGGGCCTGGGAGGTGCCGGCCAAGGCTGGGCAGTGGGCATCGGGCTGCCCTGTGGGTAGGTAAGGTGGCTGGGGGACCAGGGCCAGGCTGAGGAGGTGCTCACGGCTTTGTGCTGAGGCAGTGGACAGCCACGGAGGGTTCTGAGCAGGGGAGTGATGAGGGCTGACCTAAGTGCTAGAAAGATCTCCATCCCCGAGAGCTGTGTGGAGAGTGGCGGGGAGGGAGTGGGACTGGAGGCAGGACTGTTTACGTTCAGGGGAGCACCTCTACACGCATGCAGGCACCCAGGGCACCCAAACCCCTCCCTGCACCAGGCCTACCCAGTCGCTCGTGCATTTATAGCTGCTGTTTCCCACGGCCTCAGGGAGTTGGCCGATGGCGCAGGTGCGGGACCTGAAGTTGGTGCAGGTGTTGGGACCCTACCCAAACCGGCCCCCAACGTGCTCCCTGGCTCCTCTCCAAGGAGTCCACGTCAGCGCCTGACCCAAGGGCTCAGCCTGGGCCCGGCTGTGACCCAGGGTTCCAGGTGGCCACCAGCCCAGCCAGACTGCAGGGCAGTCCACAGGCACATGCTCGTGGGGAGAGGCGGGGAGCGTGGGTCTGCTCGGCTCTGCAGAGGGGCTCGGAGAAAGTTCTGGGTTCCCGGGCTCAGGCAGGGGGCAGGTGACCCCATCTCTGGGTGGAAGGATGACAGGGTGCTGGGAGCACAACGCCGGCCAGGCAGCCTGGCTCCGTCTCCAGCTCCACCATTTCCGGCCTTCTGGGTGCTAACCCATAACCTCGGCACCCCGGCTGTGAAGGGAGCCCCGAATGCTTCCGCCCCTGCGTGACTGTGGAAGTCAGGGGAGGAAATCCAGAGGAAGTACTGGGGGGACAGTGGCTGTGTCTTGACTTACAGGGGGAGGGCTGTGGAGGGGAGCTGGGGTGCCAGCCAGGGGTGAGCCATTGCTGCAGGGCAGCTGGCCGCTTGAGGCGCAGAGGCTGTCCCTAAGCCACAGGCCCCGAAGGGCAGGGAGGGAAGGGAACTGACACATCATAAGCACCTGCTGGGTGCCCGCTGCTGTTCTCCATGCCTCTGCAAGAGCCCCTCGACTGTCCGCAGTTACCAGCTCCTGGGGGACCCCAAAACCAGCCAGCCTGCGAGTAAAGCCCCACCCCGCTCATGGCAGGATTCGGATGGCACACTGGGGCCGTTTCCTAGAGAGAGAAAGCACTTGTCCAGAACCACTCAGACACGCTGTGGCCCCCGGGCCGCTCCAGGGCCACTGCCCCCACCCATGCCAGGCCCTGTTCTAGGTGGTAAACAAGGCAGGCACATCCCTCCTATAGTGGCTCCTGCGGTCTAGTGGGGGAGGGAGTGACTAATCAATAAATCAGCAAATCGAGGACTCGTGCACCGTGAGGAGTTACGAGGAAGAACACGAGGTTCTGTGGATTTGGCACATTTGATAGGGGCCGGAGGGTGAGAAAGACCTTTACTCAAGGCCGCTGTCAGGGCAGCGCAGGGAGTGGGGGCAGATGGTGGACCCGGAGCTGGAGAGGCCCCGGTCAGCCCGCTGGGCGCAGCAAGGACCGAGTCCCCATCACCTTTTCCTGTCATCTTCACACGGCCTGCAGGGTTTGGGTGAGGGGTGGCTTGTCCAGGGGAGCTGGGGGACCCTGCAAGCAGCCCAGAGCTGTGTCCACAAGAGCTGGGCCGCCTCAGAAGCTGCCTGGGCATGACGGTGGGCAGCCTTTCCAGATGTGGGGACCAGGGTGGCCAAAGAGTCAGATCCCTCAGAGAGTGGCCGCAGCCGCCCCCTCTGGGCGGACTCAGGGCTCATGCAGGACGTGTTGACCTCTCAGAGTGGAGTTTGTTCTTTTGCCCGAACCACTGATAAAACAAAACCTGCAAGAAAAAAATAAGTGCAGGCCTGGCGAGCTGGCTCCCTGCCCAGCCTACACCTGCCTGTGGCAGGGCAGCCCCCCCGGTGACCCACTGAAGTTTCCCAGGCCCGGCCCCTAGAGTTTCCAGGAAGTGGGACTTCTGTGGGTGCAGGAAGGAAAGAGCTGGCCTGGCCCTTCAGGCTGCAGAGGGAGTCCTTGAATCCCTGTGCCATCATCAGGGACACAGGTGACACGCTCCCAAGTGCCCTGTAGGTCTGAGGGGATGCTGGGCCAGAGCCCAAGGCCTCCACCCACAACTGGGCCCTGCCAGGCACCCCAAGGTAGCTGGTACAGAGAAATGCCCATAACGGGGGCTGCGAAGAAACTTCGAAGCCTCCAGCCCCTGGGTCTCCGGGACCCTGCCCCGCAGAAGAGCTGCCCGGCTGGAAGGCAGGGGCTCGGCTGCCCACTCAACCACCCTTTCCTCTTGCTTCCCAGCACGCTGCCAGACTCCCCCCCAGACTCTGGCTCCGAGGCCTACTCCCCCCAGCAGGTGACTGGTGAGTCCAGCGGGCACCGCCCGCCCCCTCTGGGGTTTGGGCAAGTGGCTGGGGCGGCCTTATCGGGAGGGAGGGGGCCAGCGGCCGCCCAGCAGGCCCAGATTATCGCTGGTCAAATACTCCCCGGCGCTGGCTGTTGTTCCCCACGGGAGGGTGGGGAGCCTGGCCCTGCCTCTGAGCAAGTGTCCCTGCCGGGGATGCCACCCGCCTGCCCGCCTGCGCCATCATGGACGCGCCCTTCGGCGGTAAGTGGACGGCTGGGGGAGGCTGGGTGCAGCCTGGACACAGGCCTGGCTGCCGCCGGGCCCACCTCACCTGGGGAGGTGCTCAGGGGTGCAGTGGCCCCCAGGTGGCCAAGAGCAGAGGGATCACGGGCAGCCAGTCTCCCCACAGCCCAGAGAGGGGTCAAGAGTTCTGTTTATCTTACCAAAAACATCTCTGGAATGCCTCCTGGGGAACAAAGGGAGCTGGGGCCTTCCCCCTCAGGCTGGGGGGCTGGCCCCTGGGGCCCGCCGGAGGGAGGAGGGCCCCCCCGCAGGACGGTGCTGGGGGTCCCGGAGACTCCTTCCTGAGGCTCAGAGGAGGAGCAGGCCTGAGAGGGGCTGGGGGAGAACCTTGGGATGCGGGACCTCCCCAGGGAGCCTGGCCAGGCCCGGCCGGCCCGGGGGAAGGAGCTGGCTCGGATGGGGTGAAAGGCTGCCCACCCCCTGGGCAGGGTCTGGCTTCCCCGCCCGGGCCTGTAGTGGCCAGCCTCTACACTGCCCAGCCTCCTCCCACGTGGGGTCGGCGGGAGGGCAGCCCCCAGGCTGGGTTCAGGAGGGGGCGGGTATCAGGAGACCCCGCCCCGGGGAGAGCTGGTGCCGGGAAACCTAATGGCCACCCCGCATCTCTCCCACAGACCCCCATCTCCTGCGCACCCTAACCCCTGAGAGCCTGTGCCACGTGGGGGTGCCCTCCCGCCCGGAGCACCCCCCACCGCCGCCCCCGCCACCCCCGCCTCACTACCCCGTCCTGCAGCGGGATCTGTACATGAAGGCTGAGCCTCCGATGCCCCCCTACGCTGCCATGGGGCAGGGGCTGGTGCCCACCGATCTCCACCACACGCAGCAGTCCCAGATGCTACACCAGCTGCTGCAGCAACACGGAGCCGGAGCCGAGTAAGAGTTGCGCGGCCTCCCCCAGGGCGGGGGCGGGGGCGTGGGCGGCCTCCCCCAGGGCGGGGGCGTGGGCGGCGTGGGCGGGGATGAATGAACCCAGGAAGGACCAAGGCTCTGACCCCAGAGATGGGGGTCAGTGTCATGTATATGTATGTGCGAGCAATGCATCGGGCACTTATGGCCAAGGCCAAGTGCTCACAAGTACCTTATTTGACGGGCATGGCCACCCCCGTTGCCCAGATAGGTAAACTGAGGCTTGGGGGGTGGGATGCTTGCCCTACGGAGGTAGGAGGGAGCTGAGCCAGTACTTGAACCTGGGACTGTGCTCTTACCCAGACACCAGTGACTTTCCAGTCACCATGGAGTCCTCGGGTTTCTGAGGAGGTTCTAGGCGTAGACCCAAGCTTCCTGCTCTGACTCCAACCCGTAGAATTGTCTATTTTATCTGTTTTGCACATTGAGATTTCGTGAAAGATTTCATTCAAGGAAAGATTCCACTGGCAAAGCTTTTTGTAAACCAGAAGGGGAAGGGGTGCTGTGTAGCCCCCAAATCGTCGTCCCCCTTCCCAGGAAACTCTCTTTCCCAGCCCTCGTGGCCCAGGCCCTCTGCGGCTTGTCTCTAACCATGGAGGCGGCTCTGCAAAGAGCCGTCGCTATAAAGAGTGACACTGAGAATGGCATCACAGGGAAGGGACAGACTCGTTCATTCCACCAACGATTCTGAGCGCTTTGTGTGCCGGGCCAGTTGCTGGGCATGATGGGAACACACAGACAAGTCAGGTGTGGGTCTTGCCCTCCTGGATTCCACAGTCTGGGGGGTAGAGTGGAGGGACAGAAGCAGAATGATAACACAGACTGATGGGGGAGCACTTAGGAGGTAAAGGCGCGGGCTTCGTGCAGGAGGTATCCCCTGGGCTGGGCGTATCCCGCTGAAACAGGGTGAAGAGGGGAGCGGGGGTACTGCCCAGTGGGAGGGGGCTCGGGGAGGGCCAGCCCCCCATGGTGCACACCTGTGTCCCCCCCAGGCTCCCCACACACCCCTCCAAGAAGAGGAAGCACTCCGAATCCCCCCCCAGCACCCTCAATGCCCAGATGTTGAATGGAACGATCAAACAGGAGCCCGGGACTGTGACATCCCTGCCACCGCACCCAGCTCGAGCCCCATCCCCACCCTGGCCTCCCCAGGGCCCGCTCTCACCCGGCCCTGGCTCCTTGCCCCTCAGCATCGCCCGGGTCCAGACGCCGCCTTGGCACCCACCAGGTGCACCCTCACCAGGTACATGGCTGGCCTGCTCAAGCTTTCAAGGTGGGGGGGGGGAGCCGGGGGCCCAGAGCCCGTGGCCCATGGCCGTTCTCTCTCTCCAGGTCTCCTTCAGGACAATGATAGCCTCAGTGGCTCCTACCTGGACCCCAACTACCAGTCCATCAAGTGGCAACCACATCAGCAGAACAAGTGGGCGACGCTGTACGATGCAAACTACAAAGAGCTGTGAGTGACCTGTGCTCCCCCCACCCCCCGGCCACGCCGTCCTAGAGCAGGGCTGCGGAGCGCACCGGCCACGCGATGGCCCCCGTTTCACAGAAGAGCAGACAGGCTCAGGGAAGAGCTAGGACTGGCGCTCAGGGTTCCTGACTCCGGAGCCAGCCCGAGGCCTCCTGAAGAAGCTGGTGTCCGCCAGGGAGGGGCCGGTGGGTGGAGGGGTGTTTTCTGGCCCCCCCTTCCCCTCCCCCACTCCTCCTTCTGCATTCCAGGAAGGTAGCCGGAAGCAGAGCGTCAGCAAGGCCCTTCCAGCAGCCCCCTCCCTGGAGGGGAGGGATGAGTGGGTGGGGGAGGACTGGGTCAGAGGCTGGCCGGGCATTCCTCGCTCTCCATCACCCACCCATGTGGATTCAGCTTCCTGGGACCTGGCCAGGAGCACTCCGGGACCAGTCCCCTCACTCCCACAGAAGGCCAGTGAGGGATGAGAGCATGGCTCACCATCAGCTCATTTGGACATTGCCAGGCCTGGGCAGGGTGTCTGGGACTTGGCCCTCTCGCAGCTAGACCAGCCTCCTGGAGTTGGGTGTCCCAGGCTATGTCGGGTTGTTAGCCACAAGCCCTCAGGGCTGGGGCAGGGGGCGTCCAGCTGATGTAGTGGTGAAAGGGTCCTTTGAGGCCCTGTCTGGGTGGCGGGGGCAGGTCTTTGGCTGTCCAGCCCTATGGCCTGGTGAGGAGCCCCCATTCCTACTACTATACTTCTTGGGCCAGCCCTGCCACCCCAGGTCCCAAGGTCAGGAAGTTGGCAGCTGAGGCCCCCAGTGTGGCCCAGGCACTTCCTGGGTGTTCCCCTGGGTCAGGCAGGTGGGTGGAGCCCAGGGAGGGAGAAGTAGTGAGCTCTGGGCCTTCCCGTGGATGTTAGCCAGGCCCAAAGGCCTCTCCCCACAAGTTTGGAAACATTGTCCCTGCCCAGCTTCCTCCAGGCGGGCCCTGGGCATCCGGGGCACTGCTTGTGCCTGGGGATCTGGGTGAGGGCGGGCTGACAATCACCCCCTTTCAGTCCACCTGGAGGTCCCCCAAAGGGTCCAGACTTGGAACACCTTGCCAGCAACAGATGTGTAAACTGAGACTGAGGCCAGGCTGCCCAGAGTGCCCCCTCCCCAACCGGGCAGATGGTGGAGTCAGAATGAGGACGTTTGGGGGCTTGAGCAAGCTGGTGGGCAGGGGCTGGGCCAGCGCAGAGCCGGCGCCTGGTTCCACCGTTTCCATGGCAACCAGCTGTCAGGCGTAGTGAGGCTCCACAGACGCATCCCCTCTCACCCCGTCTCCCGTGAGGGAGGGGGCTTCGGGCAGCGTTTTGGGAAGAAGCCAAGTGTGGTGAGGGGTCGTCAGGCCCCCTCCTCAGGAGTTCCCTCCCGTCCAAGTGTCTTGCTCAACCTGCCCCCATCACCAGGGTGGGGTGGTCCCAGGCATGTAGTGGGAAGAATATTGGCTGAGGCACTGGCAGACCTGAGCTCAAATCCTCCTGGGGACTCAGTTTCCATCTCTGAGAAATGGGGGCAGCCCCGAGAGTGCTTTGAGGATGGGGGCACCACGTGGGAAGTTGCGTTGGAACGCAGGCATGTGGGTGGGACGGGCAAGGTAAGCCCGGTGTGCGGGGCCTCGGGTGAGTGCCCCCACCTGTCCCCAGGCCCATGCTCACCTACCGCGTGGACGCCGACAAGGGTTTCAACTTTTCGGTGGGCGACGACGCCTTCGTGTGCCAGAAGAAGAACCACTTCCAGGTGACGGTGTACATCGGCATGCTGGGGGAGCCCAAGTATGTCAAGACGCCCGAAGGCCTCAAGCCCCTTGACTGCTTCTACCTGAAGCTGCACGGAGTGAAGGCAGGTCTGGGGCTCGGTAAGGAGGGCGGGGCAGGAGGGCAGGCAGGCTGGGGGGAGTCGAAAGAGCCCAAGGCCAGGTGAGTGCGTCCTGAGGAAACCCCTCGTGGCTAAGTCCAGTCCCCCCTTTCCGCCTGTCCTCCCGTGCCTGCCCCTTAAGCGTCAGGCCCCTCAGCCCTCTTCTCAGGTACGCTTCCCGTTTCCTTCTCTACCCCGTGATCCCAAGTCTGCGCCCCCCAGCCAAGACCCCTCTTCTGACCCCGCTGTCAGCCGTCTCAGTGCCACACCCCCAAATGAACTCCCTGGGAACTTGCCCCTCTCCCGGGCCCCCTCTCTGGGAACGGGGCTCCAGGGCCCTGGTTACCTGAGCCACGAATCCGGGGCCCACTTGCCCACCCCTCGCCGTGCACCAGGCCCTACTGTCGCCCAGAACTCCCCTCTGTCTGGTCCCCTCCTCCTCCCCCCACCTCCACCTCCTTGTCTGACCTCAGCAGCTTCCTCTGTGGCTCCTGCCTGAGATCTTTCCCATTCTGCCTTCCAAGGCCTCCGGGACCCCATCTCCCTCACCCCAGCAAAGCCCTGACTGCTAGGCTGGGCCTGCAGAGGCCTTTGGGACCCCAGCCTCACCCGTTCCCGCCATTCGCTGTGCCCAGTCGCAGCCCCGCCTCCCCCAGGCGGCTCCCTTTCTCGGGGACGCCCGCTGAACACCACTCCATCCCTCCTCTGCCGGCTCGCTGCTGTTCCTTGACCTTCACCGTTCACACTGCCCTGAGGCCCATCTTGACTTGAGGTCCCTCCCCTGCAATCCCCCGGCACCGCCACAGTGGTGGTTGATCTTGAGCCCATGAGCTCCCAGGGGGGTCGGCCGGGTGCGACTCCTTCAGTGTCACGATCGAGCGGCGCAGCCAGCGCTCGTGGAGGGGTTGAGGGGAAGTGGGTGTGGGACGGGGTCTGGGAAATGTTGGGTGGCGAGTGAGCGGGTGGCTGTGGAGGCCGGTTTGGGGTGTGTGCTCAGGGCTGGGAGGGGTGTGCGGACGGGAGTGGGGGCCGGTGAGGGTGAGTGTGTGTGTGCACGCTCATGCGTGTGCACATAGGTGGGGGAGTGGCATGGGTGTGGGGCTGTGGGATGTGTGGCGTGTAGGAGAAGGCACCAGCGTTTGTGGGCTGAGGGGAGGGCAGGGCCTCGGTTCCCTCACGAGCCCCAGCTGGGCCAGGCCTGGGCCGAGAGGCCAAAGGAGGGCGGTACCAGGTGGGGAACCTGGGCCCTGAGGTGCCTTTGGCCTCTGCCCCTCCCCCAGCTGGAGGCTCTCAACCAGTCCATCAACATCGAGCAGTCGCAGTCGGACCGAAGCAAGCGGCCCTTCAACCCCGTCACGTGAGTGCCTGGCCCGTGGCGGGTGGTCCCCAGGAGGGCTCACCCTGGCAGGAGCTGAGGGGAGTGCAGGAAGGCACCCACAGTGTGCACCTCCTACACACTCCTGCCCCCAGTGCCCCACTGCGGCCTGGCTCTCCGCAGCCCCCTTCCCTGCGCCCTGAGTACCCTGCCCCTCCTCTGCAGGGTCAGCCTGCCCCCCGAGCAGGTCACGAAGGTGACTGTGGGGAGGCTGCACTTCAGCGAGACCACCGCCAACAACATGCGCAAGAAGGGCAAGCCCAACCCTGACCAGAGGTGAGCAGGCTGGGCCCCTGCCCTGGAGCCGCTCCATTTCTGAGGACGAGGGGCGGGAGGGTGCCACCCCACATAGCACGCCAGGCACAGAGTCCCACAGACTCACCCATTTCACAAAAAAGGGACCTGGGATTCAGAGCCCTTCCTTAATGACTTACAGATGGGGGAGCAGAAGCCTGGTTCCTAGCTGGTGGGCCCTGGGGAATTTCCGCCCCCTAGTGGAGACTCAGGTTCCTCCTCTGTAAGACGGGGTGTTCATGCCCTCTTCCTGGCTGGTGGGAGCCTGGGCGAGATGACCGAGTGGGCACTGTACATCTGACCCAGGAAGGCTGGCGGGGGGTGAGGTGGCAGTGGGGCAGGCCCCTGGGTGCCTCTAAGACCCCTGTGTGCCCCAGGTACTTCATGCTGGTGGTGGCCCTCCAGGCCCACGCACAGAACCAGAACTACACGCTGGCCGCCCAGATCTCAGAACGCATCATCGTGCGGGTGAGGGCCACCTCCCCGCAGAGGGCTGAGAGTCCTCCCCAGACCTGGGAGAGACAGCACCCAGGAGAGATACGGGGGTCCTCAGGAGTCAGGAGCCGGAATGCTGACCCTGCTGGGCACTCGCTGTGTGGCCTTGGGCAAGGCTCCCACCCTGTCCGGGTCACAGTGTCTCCTTCACAATAAAGTGTGGAGGTGGCCAGGACCTGGTTGCCACAATGGGAGGGACAGTTTAAGCCGCCCCTCGTGGTGGGGTGAGGAGGTCTGGCTGGAGCTGGAGAGGTGGCTGCGGGGTTTCCCCCTTTCCCAGGGCGCTGCAGGTCCCCCATCCCCCAGGGCTGATCCAAGCCCAACTCCTGCTAGGCCTCCAATCCGGGCCAGTTTGAGAGTGACAGTGACGTGCTGTGGCAGCGGGCGCAGGTGCCCGACACCGTCTTCCACCATGGCCGTGTGGGCATCAACACAGACCGGCCCGATGAGGCGCTGGTGGTGCACGGCAACGTCAAGGTCATGGGCTCGCTCATGCACCCCTCGGATCTGCGGGCCAAGGAGCACTTGCAGGAGGTGGGGGCGGGGCTGTGGGCGGGGACAACTGAGCGGGAGGGACTGGTGCCCGGGGTTGCCCGCGGGGGGCGGGGTTGCTTTGTGGGCGGGGCTCTGTAGGGGGCGGGGCTGCAAGGGAAGGAGTTGGGGGAGGCTGGCCCTGGATCTCTGGATCCCGCGACCCTAGTAGCAGGGTCTCCCCTCCACACTGCTGCCGCCGGACGGGCCCAGGACGGGAGTCTTTCAGTTCGGCCCTGGCTCCCGCGCAGGTGGACACCACCGAGCAGCTGAAGAGGATTTCGCGCATGCGACTGGTCCACTACAGATACAAGCCAGAGTTTGCCGCCACTGCTGGCATCGAGGCCGTGGCGCCAGAAACGGGTAAGGGTTCACGTGCGCAGGCTGGGATCTGGTAACCCCGACCCTGTCCCTGTCCTCTGGAAACCCTACTCCCAGGAACCCCTTCCCATGACTCCTGGAAGCCTGCCCCCGGGAATCCCGGCCCTCCGGAAGACCTGCCCTTTGGGCCGGACCCCTCGCCCTTTGACACCGGAAGCCTGGGACTTGTGGCCTCGGGATCCTCGCTCCTCTGTCCCCTAGATGAATCTTGCCTTTATTCTCCTGGATCCCTGCTCCCTTTCCCCTGGGGTCCTTACTCCCTGGAATATGCCCCTATCCCTAGCCCAGGGAACCCCACACCTTGATCCCTGGAACTGCGACCCTGTGCCTCGGAGCCCCCTGCTCCGGGGCTCCCTGGATCCCAAATCTCTAGCCCCCAGAATTTCACCCTCACCGATCCCTGCCCCTGCTTACATTACGGTGCTGTGGGCAGTCCTCCCCGCAACAGCACTTGGCTTGCCCCTCCCCAGGTGTCATCGCTCAGGAGGTGAAGGAGATCCTGCCCGAGGCCGTGAAGGACACTGGAGACGTGGTCTTTGCCAATGGGAAAACCATAGAGAACTTCCTGGTGGTGAACAAGGTCTGTGGAGGAGGGACTGAAGGGAGCCCAGGGGGCAGAGGGGTGGACCCCCTGGAGGGCGTTCACGCCCTCCGTAGAGACCGGGGACACTGAAGTGCAGAGAACAGGAGCATTCCCCCTGCCCCCCAGTCTTCTCTCAGGCTGCTTCCAGAGCCCCCTCCCCACCCCACTGGGAGAGGTGGAGGTGGGAGGTGGGGACTCTGCCAGTCTGAGGCTGTGCGATCAAGGGCAAGAGGAACGTTCTGAGGGTCATCTTCCTCCCCTGCAAAAGGAGGGAAACGACACTTACCGCTAAGAAGTTCTAATGTGGTTATGGCAAAGCTTAAACGTGGGGTTTGTCATGAGGATAATGTTTGTAACCTTCCTGGCATGAGGATGGGCACCAACGAGCATGTGATGTGTTTTGGCCTCTGCTGAAGTCTGAGACATCGTGTTCATCAGATGGGGAGATGGAGGGTGGGAGCCTCTGAGAGACAGCGGGTTCTGACCGTGGGTGGGGAAAGGTGCAGAGGTGGGATGCTGTTCGGACGCAGGCACAGGGAGCCGAGGGAGCTGAGGCTGGACGAGAGGCAAGGCTGGCCTGGGTAGGGAGCCTCTGAATGCCCTCCTCAGGCGCCCCAATGGGCCCATAGCCTGGGGCTCCCAGGGGCTGACTGTGCCCTTGACACTGGCCGTTGCCTGCGGCAGGAGCGCATCTTCATGGAGAACGTGGGTGCTGTGAAGGAGCTGTGCAAGCTGACGGACAACCTGGAGACGCGCATTGATGAGCTGGAGCGCTGGAGCCACAAGCTGGCCAAGCTGCGGCGCCTCGACAGCCTCAAGTCCACCGGCAGCTCGGGCGCCTTCAGGTGGGGGCTCGGGGCCGGGGAGGGCAAGACCCCCTTCCCAGAGGCACCTCTGACCCTGCCCTCTTTCTGCAGCCACGCAGGGAGCCAGTTCAGCCGGGCGGGCAGCGTCCCCCACAAGAAGAGGCCCCCCAAGGTGGCCAGCAAGGTGAGGGTGGGCAGGGATGGGGGGCAGGGACTAGGGCCTCCCCATCCTCGTGGCCTCCCTTTCCAGCTGGCGCCTCTCCAGGCTCACTGACTCCAAGCGCTTCCCCTCCCCTCCCCTCGCTTCTGGACCCTCTAGCCCTCCCAGCCCCTGGTTTCTCCTTCCTCTCCCTCTGCCCCCCGAGGGGATGAGTACCCCACCTCCAGCAGAGCCCACCGTGGGTCAGACCACGGGCTCCCTAAGTCTGGGCCTTTCCCCCCTTTCTTCTTGGTCTTCAGTCATCGTCTGTGGTCCCAGACCAGGCCTGCATCAGCCAGCGCTTCCTGCAGGGAACCATCATCGCCCTGGTGGTGGTCATGGCCTTCAGGTGACTTGTCCCCCAGACTCTGGGGGCAGCTGGCCAGGGACGTCGGGCTGCCCACGGGCCCAGTCCTGGGGGAAGAGGAGGGCGGGGCCTGGGAGATGAAGTGGCTGAGGTCTCGGGGAAGGAAGGGGGGCTGCCTCGTTCTGTCTCCTCCCCTTGGGACTGGGGAGACCCGCGTACAGGCATCACTTGGGAGTCCAGCCCCTGGGACCAAAAACCACAGGCCCCACCCTGGAGAGAGGGCGCCAGGTGGTGGCTCCAGCTCTAACAATGGCCCCTTCCTGTGGCTCCCAGCGTGGTGTCCATGTCTACACTGTACGTGCTGAGCCTGCGCACCGAGGAGGACCTGGTGGAAACTGATGGGTATGTCCCTGGAGGCCTGGCTGCGGGGGCCATCGCCAGGCCGGGCGGGGCTTTGGTGAGCAGCCCAGGGTCGGAGGAGCCCTGGAGGCTGTCTCCTCTAAAGGGGGTTCCACCTCAGGCTCTTAGCCCGCCAGGAGTTTGTGGGGGTGGGTGGGAAGGCCTCTCTGGAAGGGGGGCAGCTGCTTCACAGTCGTACTGAAGCCGATGTTTCTCCCTGGCCCACTCAGTGCTCCTCCAGGTGGCTGGGCCTCTGAGTGGCAGGGGGCATCTGAGCAGCCCAGGTTAGAACAGCGGGTAGGGGAAGGAGGGCCAGGGTGGGGCCTTGGGCTCTTCTGCCCACTGTCACCCTCAGTCCTTGGGCCATCTCTGACCGTGTCTTCTCTTTCTCTCCTCCCCTGTGCCTGCCCCCTCTTTTCCTCTCTGCTGCCCCTTAGCTCTTTTGCCGTGTCCACTTCCTGTCTTCTGGCCCTGCTCCGGCCCCAGCACCCTGGGGGGAGTGAGGCCATGTGCCCATGGTACGTGTCTGGACCAAGCCCTCTCCCTCCTGCCTCTGCCTCCTTTCTGCCTTCCTTGTCCACCTCCTCGCGCCCCTCCCACTGCTCTGGGACTCCCAGGCCTCCTGCTCAGGCTCTCCCAGCCCCTCTGAGCTCAGCCCACCCTTCCCCAGCAGGTCCAGCCAGAGCTTTGGGACCACTCAGCTCCGACAGTCCCCTGTGACCACTGGGCGGCCGGGCACGCAGCCCTCTCTGCTGCTGGGTGCGTGCCGGGGCGTGGCTTTGGAGGGGTGGGATGGGGAGCAGTGGCTGTGTTCTGGGTCGGGGGTTCTGCTGCCCCACTCCGGCTCATACAGCCTCTGGCTTCCTCAGTTACCACTGGCCTGACCAGCTCGGCCCCAGCTCCAGCCCTCCGCACCTTGGACCTGTGCTCCAGCCGCCCCTGCCCAGTCGTCTGCTGCTCCTCGCCCAGCCCCAGCCCCACCCCTGACCCTAGCTTTAATCCTGGCCGTGGTCTCAGCCCCAGTCCCGGCCCCTCCACCAACCGCTCAGGTATGGCTCGCTTGGGGCCAGGTTTTGGGTTGGAGGAGTTTTTACAGGAGGCCTAAGAAAGGCCCCAGAGACTCATTGGTGGGAGGGTCTGGTCTTCTGGAGCCCAGAATGAGGCTCTGGAGAAAGACTGGGGGACCCCTGAGGAGACCAGGAGATAGAAGGGAGCCACCCAGAGTCCAGTCGGGCCCTCAAGACAGCTGGGCAGGAGGCAGCCCATGCCTGCCTCTCAGCCTGTGCCTGGTTCTCTCCACAGGCCCCAGCCAGATGGCCCTGCTGCCAGCCACCAACATCAGAGCCAAGTCCTGGGGCCTGTCAGCCAATGGCATTGGCTACTTCAAGCATCCAAAGAACTCGGACCCTGTGGCCAGCCCTGCGGTCCCCTTTCCTGGAGGCCACGGCAAAGCCAAGAACAGCCCAAGCCTTGGTCTCCATGTCCGGGGCCGCCGAGGGGCCCCTCAGCTTGGCCTGAGCTCTGCTCAGCCCACCCAGGCCTGGAGCCAGCCAGGTACCTGCCCTACCCCTTCCCCCGCTCAGCCCAACCCGGCAAGGCTCACTGGCCGGGGCCCATTTCAGCCCATCACCAGAATACCTGGGTGCAGAATTGTCAGTCGACAGACATTTGCTGAGCATTACTAAGTCCCAGGAGTCAGGCCAGGCTGATTATATAGCGTTATATCCATCGCCTCGTTTAATCTTCACAACACTCCTGCGAGAAATGAATCGTCCCCATTGTTCAGATGAGGAAATGGAAACTTGGGTGAAGTGACTTGCCCAGGGTCATACAGCCTGTTAGCGGCAGGGGTGGAATTTGATCCCAAGTCCACGTGGCTCCTTTTATGTCACCATGCCAGGGCAAGAAGGGTACTGTTCAGGGTCCCCCCAGTTTTCCAAACCTCAAACCTTTGGTTTTAACAAAGCTAGAGAACCCTTTATTGGTTTTTAAACTGGGTTTCTCTGAAGTATCTCCGGGGCTGCCTTGGAGGTTGAAGGGGAGGCCGAGAACCTTCCTGGCTTCAACCAGGCACCTCTGCTCTAGGTATTGGGCTTCCTCATCAACTTCCATTTGATGGGTTTTGTGGCTTAAAGAGAAACAAAACAAAAAAAAGCTTAGAAACTGGTTTGCTGAGATTGAAGTTCAGAGTGATGGGGAAACCCCACGGGGTAGGTGCTTACCAGGCAGCCGTTTCCTGGGCCCCTTCTCTGTGACTGGCTCCGTACAGGGCACCGGGGGTGATGGAGATGGATGTGTCCTGCCCCCAGGGGCTCACAGACACGAAAACAGCAGCGTGGTGAGGCTCTGAGGGGACACACAGGCAGCTTGGCGACTGGGGAGGGCACAGAATCCGGACTGAGGTGCGGAGATGATCAGGGGAGGCTTTCCTGGAGGAGGCGACATTGAAGCTGAGTCTTCGAAGGACAGTGGGGCCCTGATTTGTGTGTGTGAATACCGCCGCCATGGCTGATTTCAGGCTACCAACTTGACGTCACTGTACCCTGAGTTGGGAAGAGATGTGTGCAGTCAGGGACAGGGGCCTGAAGAGCAGGCTCCTGTATGCCCCGTGCAGGGGATATGGAAGACCCATCCCTACTTGTGGGTGTCCTGGGTCCTCAGGCTCTTGGGAACTGTGTAGTCCTAGGGCTGCTGGGGAGGATGGTGGCGTGACCCCAGCCGTTGTGGGAGTCTGGAAAGAATAACCTGAAATGTATTCCTGCTGAGGTGTGAATGACTGATTCTATTCTCGGGCAAGGACAGGTTTGGCTGCTTCTCATTTGTGTCCTGTCTTGTCACCCTCCTTCCTGCACCAGTGGCCTCTCTCCTTGCAGACCCGGTGCCGTCCCTGACCTCCATCCAGGTGCTGGAGAATTCCATGCCCATCACGTCCCAGTACTGCTCCTCAGAGGATGCCTGCAGGTGGGCTTGGCTACCTCCCTTCCCCCACCCCTGCCCCAGGACAGGTTCCCTCTGGTAACATGAGCCCAGGCGGTCCAGGTGTTCAGATCTTGCTCCCCTCGGGGAGGAACTTCCCCCTCAAGGTGGGGCAGCCCCTTTCCAGGCCCCTGAAGGGCTCCACTGTAGACTGGGGGCTGAGGAGTTGATGGGAGTGGGGGGGGGGCAGGGCAGGGAGGCCTTGTTGAGGAGCCAGCTTTGCCCTTTCAGGCCTGGACACTTCACCTACCACATCCCCGTCAGCAGCAGCACGCCGCTGCACCTCCGCCTGACCCTGCAGATGAAGTGAGTGCCGCCGTGGGGATGGGGACCCAGTGGTCCCAGGCAGCCGGGGGAGGGGCTGAGGAGGGGTGCTAGCTTTATTGCCTGCTCCATGCTTCACTGGCTGTGTGACCCGGCAAGCTCTGGGCATCTGTTCCTCATCAGTGAAATGGGCTGCTGCCTCCCAGGGGCTGTGAAGGCTGCGTGGGACGGTGGATGGGACAGGGTTTGTAGCCGTCTGGAGCCTTGACGGCTACGCATCATTTTCAGGCTGTGAGGATTCAGTGCCCTGTCTCACCGGGGTGAGGGAGGTAGAGTGGACGGCTGGCTGGGAGCGGGCTGGGCTGGAGGAGCTCAGAACCCCACTTCCCTGCTAACTGGGTCTTTCCCAGCTCCTCGGCCCCCGTGTCCGTGGTGCTGTGCAGCCTGATGTCAAAGGAGGAGCCGTGTGAGGAGGGGGGCTTTCCACAGAGCCTCCATGCCCACCAGGACACCCAGGTAGGAGACTGGGAAGCTGTGGGCCAGCCAGGCCGGAGCTTCCTCCCCGCCGGCACATCTGGGCTCTCAAGCCGGAGAGGAGAGGGAGCTGGAGTCAAGAGTGCAGGCATCTCCACGGAGGGCATTTTGGGGCCTGGGCCTCTGTGTCGCAGGGAGCGGGGCATGCGTGCACCGCTCACCACTGAGTGTCTCCTGGCCCTGTGCCCGCCCTGACGAAGGCCTGGGAAGGAAAACAGTTCCATAAGGCCTAACCTGGGGTGAGCGCAATGGTGGAGACGGGGAGGGCGTGTGGAGGGCGTCCTGGGAGCCCGTGGCAGGGAGAGCTGACCTTGTGTGGCCTCAGGGTCAGGCCAGCTGCCCCCAAGTCATGTTTGATTAAGATGAGACCTGAAGAGCAATATGGGATCAGCTGGGGAAAGGAAAGGGGACAGCGTCCCAGGAGTAGGGGAACAGCGGGTGCAGAGGCCTGGCGGCCAGGGAGAGCATGGCGCGCTGGCAGAGCTGGAAACGTGGCGAGGGCTGTGCGCCCGGGGAGATGGGAAGGAGGCTGGACCTGAAGCTTGGGCGGGGGCAGTGGCATTGTTCCATCTGTGACTTTGGAAGATCTCTTGGGCTGTGTGGAGGGGGCTGCCTCCTGGTCTGGGAACCTGTCTCTGTCGGGCTCCTCCCTGGCCATGTGACCCGAAGTTGTGACTCTCAACACAAGTTAAGGGAATTTCTTCTCACCCACTCGTCTGTTCATTCAAGAAATATCTGTTGGGGCCTCCTCTGTCCCAGGCCCTGTGCTGGGCCCAGCTGAGGGGAGACAGAGGTAGGGAAGAAACAGGCCTTGCCTTCCAAGAATGCACTCTCTAGCCAGGGAGAAAAGAGGTGCAGAAAGTAGCTTGAGTAGAGGATGGAGTGGGTGAGAGCCCTGAAGAGGCTCAGGCCCTGGGCGGGGAGGGCTTGAATCCCAGCTCTGCCCAGCCTCGGTGTTTAGGCAGGTAACTCAGCACTGTCCCCGTCTGTAAGCGGCACCGCCTCAGTGGGTTGCAGTGCGGATGGGGTGAGTGAAATACTTGGATGTGCCCAGAGCACAGTGGTGAGAGGGAAGGCAGTAAGAGACCAGCGGCTGTGGGCCCCCGGGTGCCTGGCACGGAGTATACACAGACGGTGGGCGCTGTTGCTCCCCGAAGTAGAAAGTGCGCCCTGCGATCTCTCTTCAGATCTCTGCTTCTCCGCTTTGTAAACCATGCCACAGAGCCAGGGCTGCGACGGCCATGGCGGGGGATGCCAGTTGGGATGGGACAGGGGGTGGGGGGCTGCGCAGCTGTCCTGACCCCTCTGCCCCCTTCTCTCCCCAGGGCACCTCCCACCAGTGGCCAGTAACCATCCTGTCCTTCCGCAGATTCACCTATCACTTCCGGGTGGCACTGCTGGTGAGCACCTGCGCCCTGTCTGCCCCCAGAGGTTCAGGGTGGGGCTTGGGGGAAGGGGGGGGAACTGAAGATCACATGGCGGGACATGGGCAGTGTCAGGCGATGTCAGCACGGGGAGCGCTCTGGCACTCACCCCCCCCTGGAGCCACCTCACTGGTTCCCACTGCCCTTCCCTCCAGGGTCAGGCGAACTGCAGCTTGGAGGCCCCGGTCTGGCCGGCCGCAGACTACTACTTCCACTTCTACCGCCTGTGTGACTGAGCTGCCCAGGGAGGCAGCGCCACAGCAGGGCCCGGGGGTCCCCGGGCGCCCCCTCCACACTGGATGCCATGGTGTTACACTGGAGCCCGCCGCTGGCACCTCCTTGGAGGAACTGAGGCGGCTCGGCCCTCCCCGTGCCTGGTGAAACTGGAAGTCCTCACACTGGAGCTGCTGGGCCTGCTGGCGGCGCCCCCAGACCACGGAGGGCGCTGGAGGGAGACCTGCCGGGCCCAGGCCGGCCCGATTCACATGTGTCCGGATTCGGCCGATGGAGGGCTGGTGGGCGGCAGGGCCCCAGAGGCGGGGGAAGCCCGTGACTCGGCCCAGAGCCTACCCTTCCTGCCTCCCCTTCTGCGATTGGGAGCCACCCCTCTTTTGGAGAGAGGACCCGTCCGCCTTTGAGACCGGCAGGGGCTTGGCTCGAGCCCTCAGAGACTTGGCTGGACCCACGAGTCAGTGGAGGGCAGACAGCCCTCACCCTTGAAGCTGCTCCCTGGGGAGGGCTAGGTAGTGGACTTCTTAGGGTCTGACTGTTACTGGACTTGGACTTCTAAGCTTTAAGCATGGCCCAGGAGGTCTCCTCTCCCTGGGAGAGCTTGGCTCCAAGAGCTCCCAGGGCAGCTGAAGCCAGCCCTGGATGGGCTGGCGACCGACCACGTGCCTTGTGTACACTTAGTGCCTGGCTGAACCAGGGGAGCCAGTGGGCCAGGTAAGCCTTGGACCCTTGAACCTGGAGTATCCCGAAGGGAAGGAAGTTCCCTGTGAGCCCCCAGATGGCGTTGCGGCCCCGCGGCCTGGGCCCCTGGGAGCTTCCAGAGCTCACAGAGGTCTCTGAGCAGAGGAGCGGGAATCCCTGCGAGGCAGCAGGCTGGTCTCGTCTGGTGGGTGGATGCAAATAGCTTTTGCTGTTATTAATGAAATATTTACTAAAATGCACTTAAACCCGGGCAGGAGTCGAAGGATGGAGATGGAAAGCCCAGAGTGGGCCAGAGCCCCGGGGGGACACTTGAAAGGCAAGGCCCTGGCTCTGATCCGTCCCAGGGAGCTTTGAGACACCCACCCCACTCCCGACCACCAGGACTGGCCTTTCCCTCCACTCTTGTCTGCTGGTGGCCTCACCTCCCCAGATTCAAGGGCTCCTGTGCTGGGCTTGGACAGCCAGGCTGGGGGCCCCGTGCTCGGCAGTAGTCCCAGTTCTGCCCACTCCTCCCAGGAGCAGAGTGGTGGGCTTGGGTTACGGAAGAAGTCTTATCTCAAGTGCCAACGTTAACCTTTCTTAGTGGGTATCTGGAGCTTTCTGAGGCCACATCCAGGCTCATGGAAGGAGAGTGGAAATCATTTCGTCGTGTCTGCCATGGGTTCAGAAATGGGGACGGAAATGCCATCCTTGCCCTGTGATATTCTGCCACCGCTTTGGGAGCCAGGCCTTGCCCCATCTACCTCTCATTCTCAGCTTTGAGTGGGAGGCCTTTCTGTGGGAGACCTGAATCTTGAAGAAGCCTAGGAACCGCGGGCCCCCTTCTGCTATGGATGTCAAAGCACTTCTCCTAGGGATAGGGAAACACAGGGGGAATGGAGGTAGCAAGGTTACCTAGCCTCCCAGCCCCCTCCCCAGTGTGGCTCCTCCTTCCGACATAGGAATTACGTGGCTCCCCACACCATGCTGGCGGCAGAGCCTTACTTAGCGCTGCTCTGTTCTCCTTCCTCCCACTGGGGGAACCCTCCCTAAATGCCATACAACTACCGAGCCCTGCCCCTTCTAATAGGATTCTGGGGCTTTCTCAGTGGGGGTGCAAGTTCTTGGACCGCAGCCCCCCTGTGCTTAACTGGAAGGTGACCCTCCACTGCTCCCTGGAGCCATCTGGACACAGCATCGCCCCAATCTGGTTGGCAGCTGGCTGTTTCCATGCCTGGGGAGGGGGTCCTCAGTGCTGAGTTTGGGGCCAAGGCGGGGTGGGGGGGGGGAGGTCAACCTTGGACTAAAGTTGCCTTAAGCCCAGTGAGGGAAGGGGGCTTCAGGGAAGGCCAGTGGGCCACCTGCTGGAGGCTGACAGCTGCCTGGCGGGTGCCGGTGAGTGGGTGTCGTGGCTCCATCCCCTACCCTGGGCCCAGCAGCCTACCCCTCCCTTCCTCTCTCCCTTTTGGCATTTACTCCTGTAGCCACTGGGCCGATCTCCCCCAGGCTTCGAGCTGTACACAGCGCCTCTCGCCTCTCGATGCACAAGCGCCCCACCCCCCGGAAAGCCAGCGTGTGCAGAGTGCGCCCCTTCCCTCCCACTTAACCGCCCCTTCCGGCCCCTGAGCTTTGACTCTGGAGTGGGCAGAGGGGAGCAGCCCCAGGCCTGCTTGCTTCCTGTCCCCTGAACTGTTCTTTTCTGAAGTAAATATACGTATATAAATAAATGTATAAATACTGCTTTGTATCTGAGCTTGCCTCGCCATCTTCTTGAGATTGTTCTGGTGGGAGATGGGGTTGCCTGTGGGCCTGGGACCAACTGGGGCCCCTGAGCCCGATGGATGCTTCGTACCCCATTATCCCTCGTAGCTTCAGGCCCGGCTTGCGAACAGGATGCAGCAGCCCCTTCCCCTAGCCACACCCCACGGACCTACTGCTGCCCTGCCTGGGTTAAAAGTAGCCACCTTAGGGAAAAGCTGAGCCTTTCGAGGGTCCCCGGCACCACTCAGAGGAGGGGACTGGCCCAGGGCAGACTTGACTGGTACGGGTTCCTACAGAAGTTTACACTAGAAGCCACAGCGGAAGGCAGGCCAAGCCCCTTCCTATCCACAGGTGAGCCCTCAATTCTAAGGATAAGACACTCCCCATATCCCTCTCATAGGCAGAGGGCAGGGCTTCCCAGCAAGCAGGAACCACCTGAAAGGCAGGTGAAATGGGAAGGGGTGGGACTGGGGAAGTCGTGGGTCCCAGCACCTGCACCACTCCCACCCCGCAGGACGGGCACCAGGCAGGGCTGTCACACATCTGCCTTTATTGTGAGCAGCAGGTGGGACATTTCCGGCATAGTAAAAAAAAACTAATTTACAAAAGCAGGGATTCAGTGAAGCCGCCTGGCTGGTACCTGAAAAAGAGGGGTATCAAAATGAGAGCAGTGACCCTTCTTTCCATCCGCTTTTCTCACCGAACCCCTGTGCTCCTGGGGCAAGCGCTGATGGGCGCTGTCCTTGGGAGCAGGGCCGCCAGAGCCGACTGACTCTAAGTGACCTGTTTGGTGGCTCATCCGCAGCAAGGTTGTGGGTGGTTTTTTTTTTTGTCGCTTAGTCAAAATTTATTTCAATGACTGAAAACGTTGAAACTAACTAAAATGCTACTCCTGGAAGCAAGTCCCAGATCCTGGCCCCTTGCTGGGTCACTCCCCAGCGGCTCTCCAATCACTGTGCATGACGGGTGAGAGTGCAGACGTGTAACCACGGGAAGCCTGTGCCCACAGCCCTACGTAGTATATCCCAGAGCCAGGTCGAGGCCCTGGACGGTGTGGAGACCTCAGAACTGACAAAGGTGGTCCCACTTGGCTCAAATCCCCATTAGGAGACAGGGAAAGGGGCACCTGTGTGTGGTGTCCCTAACCATTCTGCTGAGTCTCATTCCATTAACCAAGGGGTCATGCAGGCCCAAGGACCCCGCTGATGTGGGCGTGGGGAGGCCTCTCCAGTGTCCCACCCTGCCATTGCTCTTACCCTTGGGAGTTCACACGTAGATGCCGACCCAGAGCAGCAGGAAGAGCACTCCAAAGCCCATGAAGAGTGAGGCCACCAAAGAGATGAGGAGCTCTTTGTAGATATCCCGAGTGTATTTGGTGGAGGTGACCTCATAACTGGCAGGGCAATTAAGGAGACGCAAAGGGGTGGCTGGTGTGGCTCTGGGCAGAGGGGCCCAAGAGGTGACCTAGACTCTGGTGCTCCTACCACCCTTCCAGCACCCATGAAGAAAATGAAGCCCAGAGGGGTTAGGTCACACAGCTAATGAGCGGCAGAGCCGGGACCTAGCCCTCGCACCTCCTGACACCTGAGCACATCACAGGGCCCCGTACCTAGCCTCCAGTCCAGCCAGGCCCCTCTGCTCACTGTCCTGGAAACCGGAAGAGCGAACTGAGCTCACCTGAACCTGGAAAATAAGGCCACAACCTGACTTTGGACGTCAAATAGCCTTCCCTCAACCTCCTTACCATCCCCCATCCCCACACCGGAACAAAACTGGCAGGGTGCATGTACCCAGCATGGTCCCTCCCTCAGTTTCCCACCTCACTAATTCTGGCCCACTGGCTTCTCAGTGAAAGGATACACGAAGAACCAGGCGGTGAAGAACATGCCAATGGCCAACAGCACCACGGTCAGATGCGGAAAGACAGCCGGGTTCACTGGACTGGTGTATCTGCTCATGGCCTCAAGCTCCTAAGGGAAGGCGTGAGATCAGAGCCATCAAAGAATCCCATGACCTCAATCTGGGGGCACTATGGGGTTATCACGGAGCCTTGTGTTGCTGTGACTGCTAGGAGCTTATTTCAGCTTGGGAAATGTGGAAATCCCTCAGAACCACCGTCAAATGATTCCGTTTGGGAATGACAACAATTACATCTTACACTAAGGTGGCACTTTGTCTTTTCAATATGAGACAAGATGGGCGGCTGAGAGTCAGAGGCTGAGGCACACAAGGTGACTGATTAGCTACAGATCAATGCAATGGCCTTAACATTTTCTGAGGCCACCGGCCACCATGAAAAACACGTGATGAAAGGTATGGACTCTTTGCCTGGGACAAACCGCATACAAGAAAAAGTCTACTTATAATTTTAGAAGCCTTATGAACCCATATCTGTAGATGTCAAGCTCAGAATCACTGCTGAAAGACAGACTCTGGACTGGTACCCAGATCTCAACTCCTAATCTTGTATTCTTCCCATTACACAACTAAGGAATCCCAGGACCTACAGGCAAAAGACATAACTTAAAATTCTGGGGCTTCACTGGTGGCGCAGTGGTTAAGAATCCACCTGCCAATGCAAGGGACACGGGTTCGAGCCCTGGTCCGGGAAGACCCCACGTGCCGTGGAGCAACTAAGCCCGTGCGCCACAACTACTGAGCCTGCGCTCTAGAGCCCGTGAGCCACAACTACTGAGCCCACATGCCACAACTACTGAAACCCGCGTGCCTAGAGCCCAGGCTCTGCAACGAGAAGCCACCACAATGAGAAGCCCAGGCACTGCAACAAGGAGTAGCCCCCACTTGCTGCAACTAGAGAAAGCCCAAGCGCAGCAATGAAGACCCAAGGCAGCCAAAAATAAAATAAAATTAAAAGTAAGTAAATAAGTAAACAAGTAAAAAATATTTTTTAAAAATAAAAAATAAATAAAATTCTGGCTCTACTGAATAACATGAGCCTCAGTAAAGTGATTATAATAATAACTCTCTCACAAGGCTGACGTATGATTTAAGAAAGGCGACAAACGCAATAGCATCTAACTCACTGCCTGGCATAGAGTAGCTGCTCAATAGGTGTTTGTTTCCCTCCCAAGGTTATAGGGAAGATTATGAGATAATGCTTGTGAAAGAGGGCTGTAAACGTAAAGTTCTGTACAAATGTTAACTTCCATTGTCACCCACCAACCAACGCTTCTAAAATCCAGAACACAACAACTCTAGAGAAGTAAATTGACCTCATTGTTCTCAGAGACACTGGAATTCAATTCAGTAAACATTTATGCCCCCCTAAAAATGATGAAGACAATCGCTGCCATTGATTGAGCTTCCAGTTGCCGGCCCCAGTGTTTGGCACTGGAAATACAAAGATGAATAGACATCATCCCAGGGCCAGAGGCACGTCAGATGGTGGTCACTAGGAGGCGTGGCAATTAACAAATAAGTCCATGACACGTGGCAAGAGGTCTGTACATAGGTTGCGGGGCTCCCAGGAGAAAGAGGACAAGTGCCCAAGACAGTTGTTAGTACTTCATCAAGAAGGTGACTTTTGCCCGGGACCGTGTAGTATGAGTACGAGTTCGGCAGGCGGGAAAAACTTTCCAGACAGGGGTAACAGATTGATCACAAGTAACAGAGATAAAAGCTCGAAGGTATTAGAAATGCTCCCCATGCTCCTCATCCTTATAAATCGTTAGATCAGAAACCCATGCCATCAAAACCTCAGCCTAAAGAGTCCATGGCAAGGGGCTTCCCTTCCCCGCCCCTCAGCCCAAGCCGAAGGATCCAGGACCCTCCAGCCCTCTGGACCTTGGACATCTGAGGATTCTGCGAGAAAAAACAGGGCGCAGGACGGGCCCCGAGCGGTCCCCAAAGTCCCATCCGGAACTCCCCTCAACCCTCTCACCATTTTGCCGGACACAGGGTAATCCGCCGCTCAGCCACCGGAAGAACACGTCGGCAGGAGGAGGCGCGCTGTTCAGCCGGAAGAGGAAGTGCAGCTGTCCAGGTGGCATTGTGGGATTTGTAGTCGTGTGGTTTCGGGTGTGGCGGGATCTGAGGCCTGCGAGGCGACCGGGGTGGAGTGGGGGCAAGCAGTAGAGAAGGGTAGGGTCGGCTCGCTGAGCGAGTCCGTTCACCCTGGCGGGACTGTTTGTCGTGAGAGAAGCTGGCCGAGAGGGCCGGGGCCTGTACTACACTTCCCAGGAGGCTGTGCGCCGCGGCAGGTCACGTGACGGGAGCGCGGGCTTTGGAAGGCGGCGGAGCGAGAGTGTATCAGCGGCTAGTAAGGAGGAGGCGGCTGGGTTGAGGAGCGAGTTGGGCTGAGATCTGTCCTGGGCCACGCCGGAGCGCCCCAGAGGCCAGGTGAGACCCTCCGGAAGCGTCTCCGAGAGCGGCGGGCCGTTTTGCCCCGGGTGCTGGGGAAGGCCGGCTGCTGCCGCGGGCGGGGCGGAGCGAGCGCGGGATTCGCGGTCAGGCGGGCCCGCCACTTTTCCCGCTCTGAGCCCGGGGCCAGTCGCTTAACTTCCGAGCCTCTTTCATCATTTGTAGAAAGAAGATAATTGCCAGCTCATGAGGTCGTTGTGTATTGTGACTAAGCTCCTGGAGGGGAGAAATTTTTTTGAGCTACACTCGTTCACATCCCTTTCCTGCCTGCGTTTGTCGGACGCAGGGGGAGGATGCCCGGCTAACGAGGCAATGTCCCCTCGGTACACGTTCTAGCAAAGCAGGCAGCTTGAGGCACGAACCAAAGGATCGAGTGGGTTCTGCAGGAAGAACGTTTACAGAGCACTTAATCTTTGTCGGGGTTTTTGTTACTTCAGTTAACTCTCAGGAGGCCTTAGTATTAATTGAGAGGACTTCCTTACTAGACTGTACGTTTCCTGACGATGGGAGCCTGTCTTGTTCTTTCCATCTTCCGAGGTGCTGACTTGGTGTCGTTTTGTTGTGCTAGATATGTTTAGCCGAGGGCGTGAAGTTGGTGAGATAG